GTAGTGTACATAACAATTGAGCAATAGATAGTTTTGTTCATCGTTTAAGGCTGCATCGGATGGTATATAGGACTTTCCTTCAAACTTGTTGTATTCTGAGAAAATTACGAAAAACGCGTCGAAATGGACTCGTGGAGGTATTGGTCAAAGCTGATTTTCTGAGGTCCAAAGGGGACCCAAGGGTGTAAAACCCCATAAGATTGTATGGTCTTTCATTCTAGATACTTTTCAAGAAGATCTGAAATGGGGCAGATCCCCGTTCTTATTGCACCCCATCCTTTCTAATTAGAATAATACATCCCTCAACTCTACACGACTTTTCGTAAGGCTCTTCTTATAAATTCTATAACTTTGCAACGAGAGGTCGTGTAAAGCTGGGGGATGTCTTCCCATGTCATCAGGACCGCTAAAATACCGCTGATTACTGCAGCGGTCACCGCCAAGTATAAGGGGAGATTAATCTAATGGACATATGAAATTATCACACAGTGTACCGAACCGCGCAGTGTACCGGTCGGTTGTACCGGCAGCATCAACCGGTATTTTATCAGAATGAGCGAACAGTACTGGAGTTCGAATCTAGTTCTCAGCTTTCTTTTTTTGCAGTGTGCATGCAGCGCAATGAGGTTTCCGAACGAGAAAAACTTGACTTAAGTCACAGTACAAAGTTCAAGGAGGGTCTGGAATCTGAAAGAGAAAGTTTAATCTGAAAAAAATGAAAAATTTTTTTTTTATTTTTCTGCGTTTCCTATATAGACTGACAACCGCAAAACAAAAAGGTGATTGTGTCAAAACGACGGTTTTTTCTTGTACCGCGGTCTGAAAACTACCGTGCGGTAACCGTCGGTAGAACAAAAAACCGTCGCTAAACCGCTACGGTTAACCAGCAGTAATCTACAGACCGGTCGGTAACTAGTGGTATTACGAAAAAAAGTGCGACATGGGTCGCTTTAATCAGAAATTTGCGGGCGACTATCCTGTATTGTTAAGAAAGGTTTGGGTTATTTTCTAGAGTGTCTGAAAAACTGGTTTTCCAGAAGGCTGGATCTTTGAAGGGCATTGGGCAGCCCCTATGGACATATTCGAAATCAGCATGGTTGATAACCTATAACCCACTATATTACCATCGAAAAGCAAAATATCACATCGCGAGGTTCCCTCGTCAGGGCACTATAAGTTTATAAAATAGAAAGTTTATAGAATAGATTTGATAATTCTGTATTCTAGAATAGAAAATGGCTATTGAAAAATTATAAATATTTATTATTCATCGGAGTTTTCTATGATTGTCATAGAAAGCGCTAGTTGTTTCTGTTGCAAATGGCGTTTAAGTCGACTGAGAATCGTGATTGTTGACGATTTCTCATCATCAGTATAATAAACTCGATATATATAATAGTTTGTTTGATTTTCAAGCAGAGATTCGATTTCACCAACAGAGATTTGAAACGTATTTTGGTTTGGTGATCGAGTTGTTTTCACTTCGACTAGCTCGTTTTGATTGTTTGTAGTCTTATGAACAATTCGAATGTCAAACGGTTTGCCGGATTCTTGTTGTTCATTGACCCATTCAATTAGTTCGTCGGGGTATTTCCATTTTAGGTACCGATAGACAAGATCTTCACCTTGACGACCAGTCACAAGGTCAGCTTCGTTGTCAGATGGAGTGATAATGGTGGAAGACGGTAGGTTAGACCATGAGGCAGGAGAGAGAACAAGGTTAGTAAGAGTTGAAACATGAATGTGTTCGAAATTGGCACGTGGTGGCCGCGAGGTAAAATCAGCAATCGTAAAGGAAGTGGGCTGAGATCTAACTGATCGATCGGATGATCGATCGTCTTCATTCGGCTGTGTCTTGCTTTTCACTAAAACAAACACAATGAAAACGTTGTGAACTAGCAACCTAGATGGTAAGAAGCACTTATTCGTTTGGGTGTCAGTCAGTTGCTCGTTAGATGTATTTCGAAGTAATTAGAAAAGTTATCTAGCAGAATCGAATCCATTTGCAAATCTGAAAAGTAACTATGTATGATACTTAGATAGAGTACAGTTTTTTTACTATGTACTCGTTTGCCCTAATCTGCATGATACAGATAGTTGGTTTTTCAGATTTTCGTATGCAGTCGACTGTACTACCGAACCCGCCTTGGTTCTCTTGAAGTGAATCCAGTAATTTACTCGGCAGGTATTTTTGAATAAACTGGCCAAAACTCTGCAATTTGATAGCATCAATGCTATGTCGAAAAGTCAGTCGCTAGGACAAGAACACGAATGATTAAAAAAGTCAGTGTAAAATTCATATACAGATGTTAACAACTGTTGAGAATTTTATTTGTTCTAGAAGAACGAACGTTAAAGAATATGTTCGAGTTGGTTGTCTGTATATTTATCTTCGAAGTCTATTTTAGCGAATAACTGTCTCAAAGCCTATTTTTCTGTTTGAACGACTCAAAAAGAGTTGAATGTTTTGACTCTCACCATCAGTATGCTTGTCATTGTCGCTTGATGCCACTTGTTCATCATTTTTCTTGTCGTCAATCTGATCTCGGCCATCGTTTGTTTTGAATAACGACGATGTAGATTCTGATATTGACAAAGGCGGATTATTGTCAGCGCTTGCCAAAGGTTTTCGTGGTATTTCCTCCCCTGATTGTGATTGCGATGTCGGCAGATTTTGTATTCCAAGACTCGACAGGATTCACAGCTCCGGCCTTGGCAGGAAAACAGGTTAGTGCTTTCGGTTGATTCGGGTCTATTACAATATTAGTAGAAGGCTTGGGCAACTCCCAACCCGGCTGGTTTTTGATCTTTTCCATCAATTCATGTGGGATATTGACAGGTTCATTGTCCAATTCATTCTCTTCTTCTTCTTCTGTTGATGGTGAAGTCGGTTCCTTCTTGATCACTTGCGGAATAACCC